TCGCTTCTCTTTCCGCAGCAACACCAGCTCGCTGCGGATTGATGCTTTCTCCTTCTCCAGCTTCTCCTTCTCCGTCAGAAATCGCCTGGCATCCTCCTCAGCCCGATTCTTCCCGTACCTGTACTGGTTGGCATCTGCACGCACAAGGAGAGCCCGTCATGAAGGCTCTGGCCCCAGCTGCACCGATGCCACCCACAGTCCAGCTGAGCTGGCGCAGCACAACCCATCACCCGTGTGCTGGAGCCGGCCAGCTGCAGCCTGGCCGCAGACCCTCTTGGGGGAACAGCGTCCTCCTGCACCGGCCAGGGTCCCCCCACTCACTCGACGCGTGCCTCTTCACTTTGACTTGTGGGTCCACCCGCCGTGACTTTTCGCTGCAGGAGGAGGCATGGCGCTTCACCTGGGCTCCTGCCGGCCGCCCCGGCTCCCTCCTCAGCCTGTAGCAGGGACGGGAGGGAAAGCATGCTGAAACACCCACAGGGCCATCGTGGCCTGGCCAAGGCTCCCTGGCGCATCTTCTGTAGCCCAGCCATAGTGATGGGAGAGGGCAAGCCCCTGACCCACGCTCACCTGAACCTTCTCGTAGGGGACGTCATCATACACCACGCGGGAGGAGTCTGGCCGGTGGTCCTGGGAGGAGCTGGCCCACCTGCAGGAGGAAGGATGGGGGTCTTCTTTTCCAGGACATCCCTGCTAGCCCCCCAGTGAGCCCTTCCATCTCAGAGGGCTTTCTGCATTGCTCTCCCAGCTTCACTCATGAGCACTCTATCCTACCCTACCCTACCCTACCCGGCATATCCCTTAAGTCCTTCATCAGCGTTCATGAAACACCTTCCGCTTTCCATCCTGCCCGAGGGAAACTGCCCTGCTTCGGGAACTGCCTGGGACACCAGCTCTCCCCGAGATCACAGCATAAACCGTGTCCGACCCATGCCCCACTCGTGCCTTTTCTAGGGAACGCACAGGGCTGAGCATCACCTTCCCCAGCCCAACACTCTGCCCCCCGCTCGGCCCCTTCCCAGCCGCGGCACAGCAGGAGGACAGCCTTACAGGTAGGAGTGCCTCACAGCCGTCACTATGTTGGCAATCGTCTCCACGTCCACATAGTCGTAGTGCAAGGCCGTGAGCCTGTCTCCACCAAGAGGAGACCCAGCCAGCGGCCCAGGTCTTCGGAGCAGCTTGCCTGCAGGAGAGAGAAAAGGTTGGGGTGCACGCCCAACTCCCGGCCCCTCGCCCTCGCTCCTGCCTCCCGATGCAAAGCCCTGCTGCGGAGAAGGGCCCTCTGACACAAAGCGTGTGTGCAGGACTTAGGAGAGTCCAAGAGAAAGCACACAGGCACATTCAGGAGGTCCCAGTGCCAAACCCCCCCAGCCACCCCCTGCAACCTGCCTGCTTCAGCCCTGCCAGCCTCATCCCTGCCTCCAGCCTGCAAATACCTGCGTGGCTGCCCCCAGCTCACCCAAACGATGCCCTGGGCTTCCTTAACGTGCAGGGGAGGGGAAAACAAGGCACTGCCTTGCATGCGAGCGTTGATCATCACAGAAGATGCTCGCCCAGCTTGGCAACCCCCTCCTCACAGGACTGGCACACCCTGCCCGCCCCACTGCCCGCTCACCTCCAGCGCCGCCACCTCCTGCCCGTTGCGAAGGATGTCGAAGGGTTGTTTGGGGCCCAGCCCTGGGACCCCCTCGCAGCCCCGGAGGACGATGGCATTCACGTGGGTCCGCAGGTCGGTGCGGTCCTTGTGGAAGTAGAGGGTGTTGCCCTTCAGGCGACACCAGCGCTCCTTCCAGCACTGGTTAACCAGGACGCTGAGGTAGCCTGGGGGG